CAATTAAAGCTCTCAATTTAACGGTTTCCACCCTCGCCTGCCGTGGTCAGAACTTTGGGTCTTGAATAGAAAGGAAAAGCTTGTACAGCTTATACAGATAGTCAATTACTTAAACTTAGAGATATGGAGAGGAGCTCTGTTTAGAGCTTTTGCCCCTCCAAATATCATATATCACCAATTAATATTAGTTTATCTGTCTGTGTTGTTTGACCAAATGCTGTTTTGATTGTTTGATTTTCTATCTTCAATCAATCAATATGTCCTTGTTGTCAGTCAATGTTCTTTGACAAAAATGAATGGATTTGATCTGCATTTATGATGCTTCAACACAAAAAAAGGAAATGTATCTGGAAGCTGTTTCCAACAAATGTACAAACAGACATGTACGATAGAGGGGACAGAATCTACTTTGGAGAAGTATATACAGTGTATGTCTGGTTACATTGGAGAAGTATATATATGTCTAGTTACATTGGAGAACTCGACCTGACTTTGACTTACTGAGAATTCCACAGATTCCCATTTTTTTCTTCTTAATGATCAACATGAGGTCTTTATCTGGACATTCTCTGACCATAATGTGAACTCCTTGAGTGGGACCCAACTCATGTGGAGGTAAAACATGAGGTGCATCTGGAAGACTGCATGAAGCTGACCTCTGTGAAGGCCACTGTGCTGAAGCGTCTGTGGATTTAATTCAACACTATTCTTGTCATTCCTCGGTCTCCTGCTGAAAAACATGAATACTTTGTACATGTCAGGGACAGCACAGTCACGACGCAGCCCCGGCTTGCAATCACATTATTATTGTGAAATTATATTGTGAATTATGTGCTTCTATATATATTTATTTATATGTCTGGTTATTTTCAAAATATTGAATAATTAGCATGCAGCGAGGATATATTTGTGCTTCAGTGCTTGACCTTAAAATGACAGTAAGTTGTGCAACGTGGCTCTGCTTTCAGGAGTGGTGATAAAAGAACTATCCCTGACTTTTTTGAGATTAAAAAGGTTGATTTCACAGTGGCATAAAGAACAGTAGAGGCTGTACAAAATTACACATGGCAAATATAGCTCATAATCATTAAAAAAACTCCCCTTGTTTCCATTTCACTGATGGAAGGTGTGAAGAAGAACTGCAGAGCAACTCTTTTTATTTCATTTCAGAGGACAAGCACAAACAGCATTTTTTGTATAGAATCTGAATTATCAACCAACAGTTCTGATATTTGAATCGTCTCAGTCCTGTTATATTTTATGAATTTATGGTACCACTATGACATCACGCGTAGTTTTCTGCATTTTAAAACAAACGTATTGCACATAAATTAGTTTTGCCTAACATTGTGGAAGAGAAATTCTGTTCAATACAATCACACATTTGCGCGGATAATTATAAAATTTGAAAAAAAAAAGAAAATTCTCTCAGCTCCCTCTGGTGGTAGCATTGGGAGTTACAGGTTAAAAGCATTATTTTACCCTTTATACATGTTTCACTTTCTACTTATTATGATATTTCCCATTCTTTAAAACATGAAATGACAAAGTAAAAAGCATTTTTATCATTACTGATGGCCAAAAATGAAATGAAATTGCTACTTAGATACTGTATGCTGTGCTTCTTCCAACAAAACAATTACAAAGAAATCAGAAAAGGTATGTATTTTTGTTGTGTTGAAAAAAAAACATACTTAAACGTACTATAATCTTAGTATGGCCAGTTTCTAAAGAGAATGGGAAGTTTGTTTGTTGTGAGTTCTCTGTGTGGGGTGTCAGCAGAGTGACGGCAGCAGCCCAGGCGTTCTCCAGAGGTTTATTATGGCGGGTTGCAGCTGGTCGTCTGTCAGAGTGTGCTGTCTCTGCACCTGTGACTGAGAACACGCTCTCAGCACAAAACCTGAAATGCTGTTGACAAAAATGAAAACGCAAATCTTCGTCTTACCGGTTGATAGCGGCGTGTTAGAAATATTGTACGATTAGATTCGATTAGTATTTCATAGTGTGATATGAGCTCATTCGTATGGATTGGACATCTCAGTGCAACCCTCTGTCTCGAGGAAAACTGGGTAATAGTTATAGTTCCACTGCCCACTACTGACCGGGCACCAGAACTACATTGTTTTCCGTCGTGGCGTAGATGCTGTGTATTTCGAATAAGGCGCTTAGGCATTTTTGCTAATTTCCTTGCTTCAAACAGGGCCTTAGATTCTTAGGATGATGTTTAGCCCTTTAACATTCACTCCTTGAATAAAGCAATGTCATTTTTGGGGGTATTTCTAAGATGTAGGATAACAGATAAATATATATATATACATTTGTAAACCCCTTTTTTAAATGATAGGCCTTTTCCGAATGGTTGAGATGCAGTTTGATTGTGAAAGTGCCTAAAACCAAGTGATGATCTACCAAAAGATTGAGGAAACCATTAAAGGGTTAAGTTTCTGTTCTGTAACATGCATCCTTTTTTACTCTCCATTCAAACACTATTCATGATCATTGTACAGTAATCGTGAAAGTTCTGGTGAGGTGAGACCATTACAAAACGATCTCCAGCCATTATTCATGTAGCTTTGACTTTGCAGCATTTACAAGTACAAGTACAAAAGTCCCACAATGGAACTTAGCGCTGCCTGCTTCACTGCACAGAGCATTTCCTCTCCACTTTCTGACATGGTCATCATCTTGGCTTAGGCAGACTGTAGACAGATGCTCCCCCCCCCCCCCCTACCCCTTCCCTCTGCAGCAGGTAAAAGCTGCTTTGTCAGGACAGCCCCCCAGACTGTGTGCCTGGACAGGAGCCAGCTCTCACCTCCACATGTGCACTGTCGTTATAAGCACTCATCTATAAAATCCACCTCTCCAGCTTCAGATGCTTCCAGACATGTTTCTCATCAGTTAGAAGAGCGCTGACAGCCGGAGAACGAGGATATGGGTCTGTCAATAAGAAATGTTTGATGGTGTGTATGTTACTCCTTGGGCTTCATGATCAGAAATGGATGTCCTTAAAGTGACAGGAAAGTAGAAATACAAGATGTCTTTTGCATTGATTCTTTAAAAAGTTTGTGTGATGGTTGAAGATCAGATTTAAGATTAAAATTTCACTTTAACACTGAGAGGAGTCTGCGAGCTTCAAGATTCGAGCTGATGTGGACAAATCTAACAGAGTTACTTTTGAGGGGGACATTTTTCGAGTTTTCTTGTTCTCTCCATGTGTGGCCGTGTTTCTTCAGGGGGCTCTGGTTTGCTATATATAATAGGAATGGGCGGCAGGAGAGCCTGGTGTGCCAGCAGTGCGACAGTACAGCTTCTGTCCTCACTGTGTGTGAAGAGATTGGAAACACAACATACACCAAATGCACGACTTTTTTAGCATATAAGTTTTTGGTGGATTAGAAAATACAGTCTTTACTCGCCTTATTTTTTTTTAATTCCTTGTTGTGTATAAGTAACACATGACTATGTGAGAAAACCCTGTTGTAAAGTTCTTATAGGAATGATCTCCCTCATGTCATTTTCTGAATGGATTTTATGAAGTTTGTTTTTAGCTCTGAGGGGATTTGGAGCAGGAGTGCTTTTCTGTCAGACATATTTTAACAGAGCCATCTGCTTCTGCTTCTGCTGCTGCTGCTGCTGCTGCTGCTGCTGCTGCTGCAGTGAGTTCACACTCACAGTGGATTTCCTGAGAGACAACTTTGCAGGCAGCGTGCACTGGGATAGATGTAGCTTGGTAAATACTCTCGAAGACATGCAGAGGAAAGTAAAAGTACTACAAAAGTAAAAGTACTGTGATTCAGAATCATGAGTCTATAGTCACTGATGACTGCTGTCGTTGTGTCCTTGGGCAAGACACTTAACCCCACATTGCCTGAAGCCCCCCGCTGAAAGATCAAGGCTGTTTCATAATTGACGGAGCAGCCATCTTCCTGTGGACTCACCCCCTGCAGAAGATCAGCGAGGGACTGGTGCTATGAGCGTTGGGTGGCAGCTCTCATTGCCACCCCCCCCCGACCCAGAAATGGACAAAGGGGTTGAAAATGAAATGAAATGAAATGAAATGAAATGAGTCTATATAAAATCCACCAAAACAATAGACGATGATAAAAGTATGTAATGTGGCATCTCCCCAAACTTACCCATGTCCAGCTGGGGGAGGGCCTCCTCATGCTTGTTTCCATGGAAATGCATGACTGTAATTTTTCCACAGTTAGACGCAAAACTGATCCGTCTCCAAGGATCAATTCATATGAATGGATTGAACTTTCTTTTGCCATGGTAATTTCCATCTCTTATTTAAGCATGTTTACACTCATGGTATCCTGGCTATAGGTCAAATATAACAGGCCAAAGATCACAACGACAATGTTTCACACAAACTCTGTTTTTATTTTATTTTAACCTGCAAGTATGAATGAAATAAACTTAAATGTGTTGAGTTTGCATGTTCCCCCTATTATCTGTGGAGGTTTTCTTTCCTATCCCTAAAAACATCCAATAGAAATGAATGTAATGAGAGAGTGAAGGGATGGTGATGGTCAGAGGCTTCGGTGCACTTGACGGTGTATGGAGTGATTGGAAAAATGTCCAGTCCAAAAAAACTGTACAGCACTTAGGGTAACCTTGGTCTGCACTATATAAATAAAGATACTTACGACTACTTCCTCAAGTAAATAAAAATATACTGTGAATACACATTTCAGAGCAACCTTTTCTCAATGCTGGCAAAAAACAATCTACAACATTCGGTACAGTCCTCTGCCTTTTTAATTGGCAGTAGCTTAACTAACTGCTGTATTCTCTAAATACACAAGCAAATGTGTCTGCGGTGAGTCATAGAGCTTTATTGTGTCGTTTTCTTAGAAGAGACTGCGGGACGTTTTCTCAATCCTTTGACGTCATCGTCTTCAATGTTTACTGTCAATGTGGACTGAAAAACAGCCGCCACAACACCACCGCGGCCATTTGAACAATAAATAACCTTCATGCATGTGTGTCCTCAGGTCCTGGGATGAGTTCCACGACTGTGCGAACGTGGCCATGGCGGGGTGTCCGGACGAGGCGGCGGCCGTTTGGGAATCTCTGCGCCAAGAGTCCAAGAAGATGCAGTTCTCCGGAAACCTATACGAGATGTGTTCGCGACGTACCAGCCACTCTTCCTCCTCCTCCTCTTCAAGCTCCTCTAAAAAAAAGGAGAATCTCAATCAGGAGTCCCTACGAGCCAATGCTGGGACCACGACAGCCCCCCTCCTGCTGCTGCTGCCATCACTGCTGCTGTGGATATAGGCGGCCTCCACCAAAGGACCACACAGACATAATCTCCTGCGTCTATGGACTTTCACTCTTTCCCTCTGCTCGCTCAGGGCGGAGGATTTACTACTGCATGTTACCAGTCCGGCAGTCTTTTTGATAATGAGTCTATAAAGGGGTTCTCCTGCACCTCCACTCACATTCTGTTTGGTGAACCGTTTGAGGAAATCATTTTCATATTCAAGCTTTGTACTGTCACGTGTAGTTTCACAAAGAAAGATAATCTGAAAACAAACTAACAAAACAAAAATTATACAATGAATAAAAAAGGAAAAAATTGTATTTACTATTTAACACATAATGTTATTAATTATTGGGATACATTAACTGTCACACTAAAACTGTAGCCTTTTCCAAGCCAAGTAAATCTGAAGGAGACTCTGCTCATCCAAATCAGACTTTCTAATTCTGCCTTCAAGGAATCAGTGAAACCAAATTTGAGTCTCCCAAGATTCTTGGCTCAATAAAGTCCACAAATACTCATTTGTGAGGCGCTGAGACACCCAAGGCCCGTCATCTGAATAGCGCCTCAGAAAGAACCAAATAAACAGGAACTGCTACCAACGAGACACTGATCGAAGATCATTGTTACGGAAAGGACAGCACACGATTGATTTGTTTTTCAGTGAGTACAAGCTGGAGCTAAAGTCACTTTTTCATCTTTGCTGTATATGCTGACACAAAAGGTTGTGTAGGGCGAACACTGAATAAATGAAAGGTACATTTGCCAATTGTGTCAGCTGCAGTAAAAATGATCATTCGCTCACAAACAGGTGTTTGACTTAGGAGTCCGTGGGCAGATAAAAGAAACAGCCATAACGTGAAGCTGGTATTATTTATTGTTCAACTATTAATTTATGCTAAAAAAGTTATCCATCATTTATTATGGAGCCCCCACTCCCCAAATGTATGGAGGGGTAACCTGCAACAAGCAATGTTTTATTTCTTTAGAATCCTGCACAGACATACCTGCAAATACTGTGTATCTATTCATCAGGCTTAGAGCTTAGAGGGCAGTTGTTTATCCAAGTATTGACTGTAAATACGTATGTCATTGTTAAAAAGTGGTTAAAAGGTCCTTGGTGCAAATAACTACACAAAGCTAAATCCTTTGGACTTCCTCTGGCTTCCACCCATGTAATAACCCCACGATATTTTGCCGAGCCTTCACAGTCACAGCCAGAAGCCAAGTGCTGCCCTGGCGCTCGGGCATACCTGCCTGGAGCTGCTTGTTATTCAGTGGGGCGGGAGATAACAATTGTTTCTGTCTGGCCTTGAATCAGAAATACCAATAGATTACAAACGCAGGGAGAACCTGAACCATGAGTATAGACATGCAAAACATTGCTCAACCCCACCTGTCTAACCACCAGTGCGCTTTGCTCTGGAGGCTCCAGGTCTACTTCTGTTCTCTGCAAGAAAATAAATCAAAGTGGCACAACTTAAAAGCAGAGGGGTGTTGGAACTGCGGAAAAATCCTGGAAGGTTGTGTACGTGAGGCGAGAAAGCCGGGAGTTATTATGAAAAAGAGGCGCGTTTAGTGAAGTGCGATTTGGGGATGTTTTTGGAAATGCCAGGCAAGCTCTCAGTAAGGTCAAATTGAATTCAGTTGTGGAATAAACATGTTTTAAAGTAGCGCCATGTGCAATCAAGGACGAAAAACATCAAATATCTGAGGCATTTTGATTTTTACTCAGAGTTAAAATCAAAATTCCTCAAATTAAATGCCTCAGAAACAACATACAAAAACGTTGCTGTAGAGAGCTTTGATAAATAAGGAACCGTATTTAATTAATGCTATTGCAACGTTTTTTTCATTCATTATTATTTAAAATTCTTATAATAATTGTTTGAACATATTTTTTGTAGCTCATCAGCTCCGTGAGACTAAATTCTGAAGTGATTAAAGTGTCACAGTTTAAACTATTGCCAAACTTGGGTCCAAACGACACGCCTATCTTTCCTGGCATTTCAAAACACAATGATGCAGGCACTTAAAGGGGCTAAAATTATCATTATTAAGCTAATTTCCTACTCTTAAAGGTGTCTTACACAAGTTGCCTCGTGGAGGGTATGCTTTTAGGGTATTTTTCTATGTATATATTCATTTTTTATTTATTTAAAATGTATTTGTTCATTTATTTACTTAGAAAGGACAATGCAGCAAAAGATGCTGGTTGTAGCTGGTTAACCTACAGTACATACCGGTAGAAATTATGTAAAAATTGACATTATTCTTTTCTACATTGGATAAGGACTTGCCAGTTACAAGTCATAAATGCAACTTAAAGAGCCGACCCAATGGAAAGCAGGAATTAAAAAAAACAACAATCCAAGAGAAGAAATAACATAGTTACTACAATAACATAGTGGACCCATGTTGCGCAATACAGCTTTAATTGGTCCTATTAAACCATTTCAACATACTGTTAATTTCATTTTAATGTTATTCTCTCCGACTGAGATAGAAAATAGTTGCTTATTAACAAGTCAGAGTAGAGGCTAAAACACAAAATATGGAGTGGGCTGTGGAAATAAGAAAAACGGCCTCGAGCTATTTCTCCTGCAAAGAGCCTCCGAAATGCTCAGATGATTCTAAGGCTCCTGTACTTTCAGACTTTAATTACACTGACAGGATTAGCTATTAGAGGGCTCAACCACCGGAGAGCTTCAACTGTTTCCCCTCATGAGATGTTCGCCCTGCTTAAAAATACTTCACAACGCTATTTTATTTCAAGCCCGAAGAAGCAATTGAGCCTGTTATACGTTTATTTTATCTGCTCTATGTAGAGGGATACATCAACAGTTCAAGATGCATTATTGGACGGGCATTGGGAACGCTTGATAATCTAGTTTTAGATCCGTTGGCCCTTGGCAATGACAGATAACTAGGAAGAATGGACTGCAGTGCAATAAACCCACTAACACTGTGGCGTCTGTTATATGATTCACGGCAAAGGAATCTAAAAGTGAGTCCTGTCCTTTGTCCGGATTAGTTATTGCTACTGCATGTGACTTTTCTAACAGTACAGTTTTACTTATCGAGTACGTTTACAAAGCGTAAAAGTACAGCGAACGAAAAACAACAACAAAAATCCTATTCCACTTCTGGCCCCGTCTCCATGCTTACAATTGCCACATCTGGTTTACTTTGACCATTGGATTTTTGATTGTACTTTATCTTCCGTAGCTTTTACTGCACATAAAAAACAAAACAAAACATGTGCGGCGAGGTTCTGAATTTTGATAGTATGAGAAAGATTAAGATTTAGAGATCCTTTATTCTTCCCGCGGTGGGGATTTTTCAGTGTTGCTTCACAAGTTACAGAACAGCAGGAATGAGATCAGTGAGTATTAAGTCTGCCACAACTCTCTACTTTCTATTTAGCTTAATAAAATAAACAATATTAGTGTACCTCCAATACAGTTCCAAGACTTTGACTTCTCCCTGAGCTCTTACATGCACCTGCTCGCCGTATCTCAATAGGATCTGGTTTACGTGGTTACAGATGCCAACCAATGGAAACGGTTCGATATAATTATTCCAAATGGACCTGGATTTCACACCTTGTAGAGGATGGGTTTTTATGGGTCTTGTTCAATTAAATTCTGGAAGTAAAAGAATCTGGTGCTTTGTAAATGTATTAATTAACCCAACCCAACTATTGAGAATTAGTAATGGTTTACTTTTGCACGCAAATTTTATTTCTTTGTAGTTATTGAACCGTAGGCCTTTATACGGACGCCATTAAAACCAATCCAGCAGTATCCTTTGAAGCCTCCTGTCCCCTTTTTTTAAATACATTTGCTCAAGCTCAGATTCCGAACGCAGTTGATCACTTGTCTCTTCATTTACACTTCAAAAGGTGCTTTCTCTAAAGGCCCTTTAACGCTGCTGTCAACAGTGAGCGCACAAACGGCAGTGCGAGCAGTGGCAGATGGAGCGGTGAAATATGTATGATGCTTTGACCAGTTTGAGCCTGAGCCGAGGACCAAGTAACAGACAGAAGGACCGGTGAACTCACAGGTCACATTGGACATCAGCATGCAGAGAGCACAAACCACTGTCTGAACACACTCATTAAAGCTGGGGTACCTAACGTTCAGACCACAGACATTAAAATATGTGATCAAATCCATGTAAATGTCTTGGCTGTAACTGTTTGGTTCACTTGTTTTCACGTCCATGTGTGTTTGTCTTTCTCAGCTTTTTCAGACAGACCTAAAGATCTAAGCACTTGAATAGTATGTCCTATGTTTGTCCTAAATCCAATTCAAGAGGGTGAGAGTCCACAGTATGCAGAAGATACATTTGTTTTGACTTGTTCTGTTAGGACAAACATACAGATATTATTATGGGGCGAAAAAGTCAGGTATCCCAGCTTTAAGGAGACATTAGACAGAATTGTTACACGCAGAAACCCCACCCTGATGTGACCCCCGAACAGGAATGGCCATGAACTAATCTGGATGTGTAAAATCTATATCAAAACAAAAGCCATTAAACAAAATGAATATGTGATATCTGTCAAATGCACTATAATAATAAAGATGATTTACTTATTATAAATAAATTATACATAATTATAATATTTTTTTTTGTGTTTGAGTTTTCACATTGTCCACACATCGGGTTGTTAAATACTTCTCAAACCCCTGTACAGTGTGAATAGACCCTATATAGATGAATGTATATAGCAGTACTTTTCAGATTTCATATGTATATAGTAATATCCTATGTACACTGTAAGTGCAACTTTGAAAGCTTTAACATTTTTATTAGTTGTGGGATTTTAAAAATGACTCTATGTAGGCGTGATTTGTTTGAGTGAAGAACATGTTTGTAAAGATCTGTTTTCTTCAGTATTTAAATGTGACTTGTTTTATGACATAAATGTAAATCTGCAAATGAAATGAATCCACTCAATGTACATTTGATTTGACGATGGCTCATATCTGCTTTGTGGTGCATTATT